CTAATAAACGGTTTGCTTTTTTATTTTAAATTCCAGAAGCAGAAGTTTATGCACCTGTGGGATCAACTTAGTGCTAGGGCATTCAAATTATAACAATAGGATAATTTCTATAGTGTCACTTTTTTGGGGACACCCTGTACAGTAGTGCTAGTGCATCCACATTTTATCATTATTTGTGTTTCACTTATAATTTTGTCTCATGTGTTTAAAACAAAAGACTTTCACTTTTGGGACTTTTGGGACTCAATGAAATACCCTGCACAGTATAAGCGGCTTTAAAATGGAGTAAAACGAATAAGAACGTGTGAGCGAAAAAAAATCGCACTTCAAGAAATTTAAGCTCAATCTTGCAGCTGAATGATGCGAGTCGAATTGTAGCAAGTCCAGTCATTATAGAACCTGCATCACTTCATAGGTTTAGTATAAAAACTATTCGGATATACAGTATTACAACAATTAAAATTATATATTATTATTAGTGTATTCTACACTAAATCTAAGCTACTATTAATTTACAACAATATAAATAAAAGTACATGCACTTATATAAGGGAAAATCCTGCAATCTAGTCTTATTTTATCTTTTTATCTTTTTTTCATATTTCTTTATTTTTTGTAAATAGTTTATTCTATATTTCACGCCCTTCATAGAAATCAGCCTCCTAACGGTTGTATGTATGAATGCGGCGTTTATGATCATGGTACAAAGTGGCTTTCAGCTATGTTTATTTAATAAAACATTCACGTTAAGAAATTTAAGCTCTATCTCAGTTTTCTTATCATCGTTATAAGCCTGTTTGGAATGAAAACTTATCCCGAGCTTTTAGGCTTTTACCGCTATCAAGCCTGTCACACGTTCATTTCCTGCTTTTGTCTTGCTGATACAAGGATTGCATCTGCAATTTGAACCCTGTGCAAACATTTCCTAATTACACGTTGGAATATTTTAATGCGCGCAGTATCACTATCATTTAGTACATGTAAAGTGGCTGAGCTGCTCCGCTCTGGGAGTCAAATGTTCATCCCCGAATTTGGCGCTTATTTGAAATAAGAGAAGCAAACATAAAACCCCGATAATGTCCCATGTATTATTGTTGTTGATAACAAAGTCAAGGCAATGCTGCTTTTTTCATCGCGAATCTGTGATGGAGTAAAGTTTTGTATAAAAAACCGTAAGTTGTCGCTATATTACTTTCATATATACAGCATTCCAGCGCTTACATGTAGTTCAATAATATTTGAATGGTCTGTGCCAGTGTAGGCAGTGCTTGTAATAAGAAATCTGCGAATTGATAGGGATAACACTACCTGAAGAATACAACGAGAGATTGGACGTTTCGAGCGAAGGCCCTTCCACGGGAAGTTTAATAACTTCACGAAGGGCATTGGCTCGAAACGTCAAAGTTCTCCTTGTATTTTTTAGGTCGTTGTATCCATATAGTTTATACAGGTCGCCTACATCTATGGTTGTATCCCTTTCAATTCGCAGCTTTTAGTAAATAGTATCATGTTGTGGGCTTATGTAAACTCGAAGTGGCCATTGTCGTAATTCCTCGCTAGTATCTGTATTTTATTCCTCGTATCTGACGTATGTCAGGTAATATTTTCGGAGTATTTCAGTCCCGATGAAACGCAGAATGAGAGTCGGTAATGCTCTAGAATAACAAAATAAATTTGTAATGAATCATTTGAATGTTCCAATTTAGAAAATCCCGGCAATTTTTCTCGGGATTCTGGGATTTTTTCCCCAAATTTAAGGGATTTGGGGATCTTTTTCAGCTAATTTTTTCGAACTATTTTCCCTTATTTTTATTCACCGAACAAAATATTTTCCTATATATTTTCCTAATTGCCACACAAGGCATCAAACTCTATATTTGTGCGTGCTATATTCGTTTCAATAAATAGTTAATAGTTATTAGTATAGAACATATTTCTTATTTAAAGTGAAACGACCGTGCGGAAACTACTTGTTCTTTGAGCGACTACTTTCATACTCAAATGACGATTGAACAGTTGAATACTTTGATATGCCATATAATTCTTCTAGTCTCAGCCACATGGGGATAACGAGGTTTTTCTGCAACTACGAATTAAAGCGTCAAAAACCGATCCGTTTCGAGCCTCAGCCACAATAACCATTGGCAGCAATTCTGGTATGTATTGTCCAGTAAGGGCCCTTCAAACCTACCTTTCACGTGCGGCAACGGACTATGCGGGACCATTGTTTTGCTACTCAAACGGTGTTCCTTTATCACGTAGTCAATTTACTAAGGAACTACGAACACTTTTGGCCCAAGGTGGTCATCACCCTGCTCACTATGCAGGCCACAGCTTTAGAATCGGAGCGGCTACCACAGCTGCGTCCCAAGGTTTGCCTCATTGGCTTATTCAAACGCTAGGAAGATGGTCTTCCGATTGTTCCCTCAGATATATTCGCACGCCAATCAATGTCCTTACAGACGTTTCAAAACGATTGATTGCAGAGTGAGATAAACACTCGATCGTTGTTTGTCGGTCTATGGGGATCACACACACTATCGTTGTGTGATTGTGGAGGCAATTGCTCTAGTATGAGGTCGAAATTTTACCATAGACCTCACGTTTTCTTTACGGAATTTGGCAACCTGGCATACAGCCAATTCCCATTTACAAAAATCACTCTATTTCTGCATATGAGTATATGTGCTGAGCCAGATCAGTGTTCTAAGAAATATTTCCCTGATCATTTTTTCCCAGGGCCCAGCTCAGAGTATATGTCTTGCAGGGCAGGCTAGGATCCAGCTCTAAATGGAGTATATGTTCTAGCCGACTCAGGACCCAGCTCAAAATCTGTAAAAGTATATGTCTTCGGCAGATTAGGACCCAGCTGCAAATCAGTATATGTCCTAATCGACTTTCCCCAAGATGCAGCTTTTCAATACGAGTATATGCCCTGGGAACCGCTCAGCACCCAGCTCTTCGCAGATAAAAAATACAGTATATAGAGCAGTTGTCCCACACTTCCATAACCCCACAAACCTTGTGTTCTTATGCGTGTCGTTATATTAAATATCTCAATATATATATATATTTATTAAACGGTGAGGACATTAAAGAGAAATAACTTGCATTAAATAGAGGAAGGACTAACTTAGATTTTGATACATTACAGTTGTATTTAACTTAAAAATTCACGGATATATTAATGTTAAAAATGGGGAGCATATTTTGGAATGTGTCTAAAATTAGCGAAAATCGGCATATCAAATATTAACTCCACCGTTTGTTTGCTTAATGACATATTAGGCTAACTTGTATTTCAGCGAATTATCGTTAAGGTTTGTAAGGGATATGGCGTAGATTTAGACATCTTACATGTAAGTCTTAGCTCATTGTTTCCTGAAATATGAACGTTCGAAATTATGCAAGTATTTAATATTAGGTCTTTGCAAACTTAAATGTACATGAAAGACTGACCATGGAAGGCAGGCGCTTAAATTTTTCGTATTCTTAAATAGCCTAATTTTTTTATGTTTTTAATGGGTTCAAACAGACTGAGTAGATTATTTCTCGGTTAGAGCAGGATGAATATTCTTTATTGAAGGAAATAATATTGCTTTTTGCAAATACACATCACCGTATCAACGCTACTATTTTGTTACGTTTTGTTCCAAAAATGTTGCATGTCTCTGGGGAGTTGCTTAATTGTTATGTCTTATGGAGTTGTATGGTTTGATTGTGTTTCATATAATTCTCAGTTTACTCCATGAACTTGCCAAGATTAAGAAACGGCAAAAGAGTTTGGGTGTTCTTAACAAAATTTCAGAACGTTGCAGAAGTTAGAAGAGCTTCACAATTCCGTTGTGACAGCATGCCCTAATTCAGAACTACGAACGATCCAATGACGATCCTTCGCGATGCAGTGGTCTCATGAAATAAGGAAACGTATTCGTGCTAGGAACACACGCGAATTTCGGACGAATGAATCTTGCTTGTATTTTGTAGATATAATAATACTTTGTTTCATAATAAACAATTTGTCAAGTGTCATTTATTTACTGGTAATAGTGCATGTTTCAGTCGGGCAAATCTTGATTAATATTTGATACGTCGATTTTTGCATATTTCAGACACATCCAGAAATATCCTCCCGAATTTAAAGATTAATATCTCCGTGAATTTTTAAGTGAAATACAACTGTAATATATCAAAGTCTAAGTTCGTCCTTCCTCTATTTGATGCAAGTTATTTCTCTTTAAAAGCTATACTTGTTTAGATGTTATTACGAATCAAACAGGAGTACTTTTTTTTGGGCCACCCGGTACAGTGTGTAATGTAGATATAACGGGATATAACTTCTTTAATGTTAACTCGCCAACTTTTGCTGGAGGAGTTGGAATTTATATAGCAAATAATTTGAAAACCATAATTAGGCCTGATATAGTGATAAATTGTGAACAAGTCGAATCGTGCTGGATCGAAATTGATGCAGGTCCTAATAAAAAAAGATATATAATTGGTTGCCTTTATAGACATCCGCATTCAGAAATAGTGGCTTTTACAGAAAAATTAGATGAACTACTTGGACAATTTAATCAAAATAAATACCAAGTATTTATATTAGGTGATATGAATATTGATTTTATAAAGTTTAATGATAATCAACAGACGGAGAGGCACTTAAACATGCTATATGCAAATAACTTTTTACCCTTTATAACAAAACCGACAAGAATAACTGATTATACTAAAACATTAATTGATCATATATATACTAATGCCCCTATTGACCAAATCCTTTCGGGCATTGGATTAATGGACATATCTGATCACTTACCAATTTTCTGTATTGTAAGTAGGTTACCCCATATAGCGACGGAAGTGATTCAAGTGAATGACGTCATCAGGGGGTGTACGTACTTAGCGTACGTACTTAGCGTTCGTCCAAGCGTGCGTCCGAGCGTTCGTACTTAGCGTTCGTACTTAGTGTACGTCCAGTTTTGGTAAGCATTACGTAATTGTATTGCACATGTCTATAAAAGAGACTGCTCGTTTATTCACTGCATACTAAGCCATTGAAGATGAATTTTTCACAACATTTTGAGCAATCGAACTGGGCCAACAGTGTTCATGCAGACGAAGTTTCGTCCTCTGATTATAAAAGGCTTTTTAGTTTGTTAGAGGCTATATATGCAGAGGCTGTTGCTTGCGAAGTTGGTAAACTTACTAAAGAGAGATGTTGTGGTTGTGAGTACGACCATCCGAGTCAACGCCAGCATGACTATCTCATGTTATCAGAACAAGAGAGATGGCAATCGTATGGTTTGGAAGCCATAGAGCGAGTGATTGTTAAACGTATGGTTTGGAGGGAGTTTGTTGAGGCTATTAGAGTGATGAAGTTACAGTATCATAAAGATGTTCGAGATCACTTTGACGATTTAGAGAAAAGTCCTGATTCAACGTTTGTTTACTCTCTGATGGATCTTCGTGAAAACATCGAGGATAGTGAATTTGAGTCAATTTTGAATTATCTTTCATACTGGAGAGAGGATAAATGCTGAGGACATGAAGAAGTTTGGGCAAGATCATTACGTCACCGGAAGCGGTCGTACTTTAACGATATATAAGGATGGGATCGTGCGCCAGTTTTCATTACTTGCCAACAGAACTGTACGATGGAGTGCTTACATGGAAAACCTGCTGCTAATTCCACAACAAGCAATGGATCATTTTGGTTTTGCGGTCAAAACCCCAGTTGCAATTTCTTTTGTACAGAAGACGAAGGCTACATGTATGAAAAAGCCATAACAGCTTGGAGATGTACCGAGCAGCCTCATCCTCTGTGCGATGAACATCATAAACTTGCGAAAATGTGTGTCGTGAAAAATTTGATGAATGTGAATTATGGAAGACCATTCTTCGTGTGTGGAGAAAAGGCGAAGCCG